CCCCTCGGCGGGAGCACCTCCGCTCGCCACCTGGGGACCCGCGCCGCGCTCCCCGCCCCCGCCCGCCCGGCGCCCATCCCCCGCGCCCTCCGCTCGCCGGGGTTATAATTGCCTCTCACCCCCCGGAGGGGTTATTTTGGGGGTGGTTGGAGGCGGCGGCGGCGGCGGCGAGGAGGGGAATTTCCTTGTGCCTCCATTCCTGGGAGGGGGGAGCGGCGTCGGAGGCCACCGTTTCCAGGTAAGCGCTGGGGGCCGGACCCTGGGGTGGGGGCGACCGCGGGCCCGGGCGGGGGGCGCGGGCGGAGGCGGCCGGGGGGCGCCGGGCCGCGAGGGGGATGGGCGCAAGTGGAACATGCATTTTTCAACTTGGCCCTTTGGGGAGCTGGGGTTTGGGTGGGGGAGGGGAAGGCAGGGAAGGTATTTAGGGTGCCCCATCCCCCTTTTTCCTCTCTCAGGCTTCTTTGAAATGCTCACGTGCCTGCCCAGCCCCTACCCTTCCCTGGTCTTGGGGGATCCTTACCCTTATTATGTTGTCCCCGAAAATGTGCACCTCGGCCTTCTCCCCCTTTTCCACCCTTCGTGCATTTACACCCCCTTTTTGTGTGTGTATGTGGGGGGAAGGCTTTCAGGAAAGAATTTGCAGCAAATTGAATCAAGGAGCCATCATGAGGCCGACTCCTTTATAGCCTATTTTTAGCAGAGGAGAGGGATCTTTTCCGTGCATGTTATTTTGTTAAACCTCTGGTAGCAATGGAAACCTGCTCCCCTCCTTGGGCGCGTCCCGGGCCCAGGCGCGGCGACCCTAGCTGGCGTGTGGGGGGCTGCGGGCGGCTGTTGGGGCCGCGGGACCCGAGCGGGGGAGGGGCGCGGTGCCGCACTTCAGGACGTGTTTATTTGTAACTTAGTGCTTTTTATCGTCCTAAGGAGGTATTCGCTAGTCACTTTGAAGTTGGGTTCAGAAGTGTAGAATTGGCAAAGTTATTGCCAGCTTCCTGGTAAGTTTTGGGTGGCAGAGTCACATTATTTTCTGACAGTGTAAAGGCCACGTTGTGAGGGTGGTTTCTCAGTAACTTCCTCTTTGCAACCGATGTCATTTTTTCAACAGAAGCAGACTTTTATTTAAGTGAAATATTAGTCCTAAGTATGGCAGCTCGAGGGAAGCCATGCATGTGTTAACATGTTCAGTATTTTTGGAAGTTCCTAATTTGCTGAAACAGGCATCACTTTGCAGTGGCAACTGAGATTAAATTTAGGTTGTGAAAATGGTGTGTTTTGTGTAAAATTTGGATTGTAAGAACTCTTTTAAAATGTTCCTGTTGTTTGGTTGTAACATTCTAAAAAATAATTTGGTCATTATAAATGACAAGGGTTGGAACCCAGTTAAAAACTAGATTTCCTCAGTGTCTGGAGTTTACTTAAAACCATGGACCGTGCAGGCATACCATGGTGAACAGTTTTAGTACCTATGTGATTTACAGTTGACTTAGGGAAGTTTACTATTGGCTTTCTTGTTTCCCAAAGAAGCACATTATGTTGATCTAAACAAGCTTGTTAATAAAATATGGTGGGTGAATTGGTGGGTTATTTTTAGCCTAAAGGGTTCCCCCTCCCCCATGTGATTAAGTATTCATCTTCCTCCCCCCTTTTTCCTAAAGACTCCTTTATAGATTGGAAAATATGAGGCCCTGGTGGTGTTTTTATCTACTTACCTAAAACAAGTTGTAATAAATATCCCGGTTACACATTGAAGATACAGTGAGTGACTTTTTGGCTTTCCCAGTGTGGTTCATTTTCATTTTTGTTAAATCAGACCCATGCTACAGTGGTGTATTTTAGTAATCCTGACTTCCTGGGACTGTACTCACCATTTTAATAAGTTCATAGTCTAGGGAAATACAGCAGCTTTGTCTCCATGAAAACGGTGTGTATGTTGAGTTGTGTCGTTTATGGGCGTTATGGCAAGCACGTCTCAGAAATTATCAGAGTTCAAGAAATATAGTTAGCACTTACCTGTGAAGGAGGGGTGACAGAAAATATACCTGAGTGGTTAGGCATGTGGTGCATTGTTTAAACTTTTTGCTCTTAAATTGAGGTTTTCCTGTTTGTTTGGAATATGATTTTTTTCCAGTTCTTTTTATCATGCACTATTTATGTATGTAATAACAACCATTAAATCCATAAATAACTATTTTTTGTCATTTGAGTAGTTAGAATCAGATCTATAGGGCAAAATACTAAACTATATGGGGGTGTGTGTGAAAACAATATTTACATGGAAAAAGTTTTTCCTACCATTAGGGAACTTAAGTAGGGGACTTGTAAATGGCTTAAAAATTGTTGTAAAGCTCACCATCAGTTAATGGAGTGATGTTTTTCTTCCAACACATACCAGCTTTGGTTGTTAATATGGTAGAGACACGAGCTAAATGGAGTGGCTCCTTGTGGAGGCTGTATTTTTGCATTGGTTGCTTAAAAGAAGTGTTAAACGTTTTCATAACTTTTCACGTGTCCAGGAATCTTTGTTACTTGTGTTCGCAATGTCTAATTAAGGTTTATCCTGATTACCATGATACATACCTACCAAGAGAACAAGAAGTAACTGCTTCCTGTGAACTGGGAGCTTTTGAAGCTTATACGCAGAAAAGACAGAAGCTTAATATAAACATAGGGGTTACTGATAAAGAGAGATGTGGCTAATGGGCCTTTTGAAGGAGACAACCTGTTGAATAAATATATCTGTTCGTATATTGCAATGAAATATAAGTATAGTCTTGTCAAGTGAGTAGCTTGACAAAGGAATCCTACAGTTCGCTACAGCAGTATTACTACAAAGAATTCTGACTTGACACATTTGATGAAGTTAGTAGAAATTTGTTGGGTTTGTTCAGTTTCTGTGTTATGTAAAATGAGTTGAGAGGAATGTGAATGGTAGTCAAGGGACAGCAAAATTATTAACATTGGGACTTTGTATTTTTCTAGTTCATGTGAATTTGACTCTTCACAAATAACATTTACAGTATAAGTCACTGAAATGCAAAAAGAGAAAGCAGCTAACATGGAGACATTTATGCATTCCCATAGTACAGAAGGGCTAGGCCTCCAGGGCTGTGTGGTAAAGAATTGGTAAGAGTATGTTCCAGTTTGGAGACCACCATAGTGGTATCTTCTGCTCTATCACCGACAGAAACTTCAATTAAAACAAACAAACAAAAAACTGAGAGAGCTGACGGTGGAGAGGTTTGCTATTCACCACCTCTGGTATTGGACTCTGTAAGAGGACAATGAGTTGCCCTGTTACAAGGAGCCACAGGAAAGGAACTCTGCTTGGGCTGTGGAGCTAGGAAAGGTGTGAGTTTCTGTGTCATTTGTACCTCAGACTAATCCTATGGGTTCTTTTTGTGGATGATGACACAGCGGTGCAGCGATGTCAATTCACTCGAAGGCCACCAAATGACCAAATGGTGCACTAGAATTCTAACCTAGGTCTGTGAGCTCTAGTCCAAGTTTGTAGAGGACACTTACAGTTCCAGATTTTTCCAGCTCTTTTGTCAGTCTTGTCTGTAGATACCCTTGCAAAAATGAGTGTTTTTAATCAAGTTTATAATTCAATAGTTGAGTGTCTCTACTAACCGGGTCAAATGATTGTAGGGATAAATGAAATTCATGTGTTCAAACATCATTGTGCTTAACTCTCTTAGAAATGTTTAATAAGATGCAGTCTTGTCAACTGCTGTATTTTTTTTACCTTAAGATTGATAGAGGTGAAGTTGCCTCTCCAAGTACTCTCCACAGAAATAAGAAAATAAGAAGGAAATGCAAATAAGGGTATGTCCAACTATCCTCAAAGTACATATTCTTGAAAACTTGTGTAAGGAAAATATATCTTGTTGTGTAGCATAGCCATTCCATCAGGGTCCTTGGGGCATATTGCCGGGGTTCAGACTCAGGCTTCATTCCTTACTACATGTGACCTCAGGGAGTAACCCCTGCTGTGTGTCAGTTTCCTCCTCGGAGTCATGGGGACAGTTGTCTTTGGCTTTGTAGAGTGAGGACTGAGAGAATTGTATGTGTAAAGTGCTAAGAGTAGTACTTGACCTACAACAAGCATCGTGGAAATGTAAGGTATTTAGGACCATGATGATGGGTTTGGATTTGAAGTTTGCTTCTTTGTATTACATTTTATTTGCTTTAAGTGGGGGCATAATTGCATAGGAAGCTTCTGGCAGCTTTATTTCCTCAGTTCCTGGATAAAATATTTGAGATAAATTTGGCTTAATTTATTTACTTTTGAAGTTGTGATTTAAGGCTTACCTTGAAGAATTAGATTGGATTTTAATACTAAGTGGGAACAATAGTATCAGGTTACATGGTTGATGTAGGTGCTGTGGTGGGTCTTTTGAGTGCCTTTGCTGCTGTTCTGTCACTTGGGCTTGGACTTTTAAAATCCACTTGTACCATTTGAAATATTTCCCAACTCTTTTTAAATAAAAAGGGAATTTTGTTTTTCAAGGCTGGATGTGGCAGTACCTAGGATCTGCTTTTGAGATTGGAGTGATTACTTCAAGTAGGTTATTGTTTTTGCCAGCCATGACCTTTCCTCTTTGTTCTTGCTCCCTATTTTCAGCTGATGTCAAGACAGTTCTATTTGGAAGTGCTGTCTCTGAAACATCTGTGAGCCTTGCCTTATTTTCACTTCCCATTCTTTACCATTCTTAATTCAGCAGTAATGTTAACTACTAATAGAGTTCTGTGTGTCAGGACTGCACAGGTGCTTTGTCAGGTACTCATTACAGTCTGGGCCAGTGATATCCTGATTCTGTTAACAGTGGGGAAACCAAGGCTCAGGTAGTACGGGATGCACAGAGGGACTTAGGTCCAGTGTGTGTGTCTTCTAGCCAACGTTCTTAACTAGCAGTCTACTTTCTTTTCAGTGGGTGAATGAATGAATGAATGAATGGTTTTACTCTGGGTTATTGCGTTAATTTTCTAATAAGTTGCCCTGAGCAGACTTTCGTCTCCATCCTATCTTCTGTAACTACTGACAATATAATTTATTTAAAATACTGATTTCATCATGTCAGTTCCCCTGCTGGAGAACTCATGATGGCCTCCGTTTGCCAACTGGATTGAGTTCATATGCTTTAGTCTGGCTTTTAAGGCTCCATTTTACCTATTCAGCTTAATTTCCCACACTTCCCCAAGTGGGAGTATCGCCTGCCCATCAAATACTGCAGTTTT